TGTGTTTTGCTACAGGGTTTGCAGTCGAAATGCGCCATTGATTTTTGAATGCTATGGTCAGCCATGGCCATGCCCCGTACATTTTGGCTCGCTCATTTTTCCCTTCGCATGCCTTTGCTTGCACTCGTGGCGTTTTCTCCTTGCAAGGGCCATTTTGGAGTTGGAAGAACGTTTAAAAGACTTTCATGCCAGAAGTCCTCCAAAGCGTGTCCCTATGGTTGCAAGGACAAACCAAGATGAGGCTGTGTAAGGCATTTGGCGCTTGACACATTCAACAAGAGAGTGTGTTCTTTTCCTATGGGTTATTTGTGCAGTACGAGGCTGGGGATGCGCAATGGTTCTCCCAGTTGCAAGACTAAGAATAATTCAATCATAGAGATCTTCGAGGGTCACACCATTCTTTCGAATGGAGACTCTTGTGACCAACCAAACACTCTTGGCTGCCGGAGAGCAGTGACCTTTTGAAACGTGTTTGTCGAGTCTGCCGCACGAGGTGCCTGACGGGCCAATCCAAACAAAATGACATGCCATCCAGCACCACGCCCATCATTCAATGGCAGCTTCATTTTCGTATCTCGTCGAAACAAATGCAACGGGTTCGGGTATTGCGGCTCTGGCTTCGCCATGCCGATTTTAACAACCGTGTCAAGAAAGCATCCATTGCACTCAAAGTAAACACACAGTGCATGAGCCACCTTCTTTCACCAAGTGGAGAAGCTTGTCAGCGCAAGTCTCTTTTGTGCTCAGTGGAAGCAATGCACAAACTGCCGGCGTGTGGGCTTATGATCAAAGCCAACATGACATACATCAACTCCCAGATCCAACATCCTACTAGCCGCCCGGCTTGCTTGCGTCCAGGTCAGATTTACCACATTCTGATCTGTCGCAGATCTGGAACCTTTCCGAAGCTTTGCTGCAAGTTCCAAGGTTCAAATTGTTGCGCAAGTTGCGCTTCCTTGTTGCTGCGCTTGAGGGATGAATCAGGCGGAGGCATATATTTTCTGCAACTTTGGGGAAGGGCTGTTCGGCCCCTTAAGGTGAACATGTTGAGGGTTCTCGTGATTACCCTTTCAGGGGGCGGGGTCTCTTTAAGCTACCATTTAGAGGGAATTGAAGTTCTTTGACGGACTTGGGCCATCGTGCAGTAGCGTTATGTGGCGTTCGGTTTGAACGCAACATGTAGGGGCCCAGGTCCAGGTAGACCGATAAACCTGAGATGTGTGGTAGAGTAGGTTGCTGACCACTTCCTCAGCAGCTGGAAGTATGTTGATTGGAGCGCGCGCAATTCAATTCTGTTTGAGATAAGTTCTGGTGGTCACAGGCGGCTGTTTGTCTGAAAGTCAGTACGTATTAGCAGCAAGCACCGGCAGCTGAAGAGATTTTTTGCAATTCCCAAGCCGCCCAGCACGACTGAAGACTGAGTTGCGAATGTTTGCAACTTGCTTTTCGTGCTTGCGTTACATTCCCAAGCACCCTTTTTTCAGCCCATCGCCCATCATGATTCGAGAAGTGCCTTTCTGAACCTCAGTGGAACTGCTGTTTCTCGTGCCAAGGATTTGGACGGGGACGGCCAGCTGCGCTTTGGGGAATTTCTTTGCGCCATGCACCTCGCTGAGAGGCGGGGCATTCGTAGCCTCAACCACTGGCTCCGCGTGGCAATAGTCCATCACCATTGCGTGGCAAAGGGGCAATGCCTCTAAGATTTCGATCACAATTGGGCTCCCCCGATTTTGCCGAAGCTTGCTGTAAGATAGGCTGTCTTCGCCAGTTCCATGCGATCAGAATTGTAGCGCTTTGCTTGCGCCGGCTCGAGACTACCCGTTTCGAAAGCAACGGTGATCATTTGGACAATTTGTTGGCTCTCTTTTTGCAGCTGAAAGGGGAGGAAGATTTTGATGACGATGACGGCTTCGTGTGAACAGAGGAATCGCAGACGCGCGAGAGGCGGAGATTAACTGCAAACTCATCACTCGCAATGGAAAAAGCCTGGGGGCGTTCCCACAGAACAGCCGAACACAACATGCTTGTTGCAGCTGGTGCAACGCGGGCATGTCCAAGAACGGAGTACGCAATCGCCTAGCGCGAATGGTGTCTGTTTGTCGCATGGTGTATCATAGCATATCCATGCCACGTCATATCACTTTCAGTTATCAATGACTAATCCCAAATGTGGTTGCACGCTTGCAATCAGCAAACGACAATTCCCAACAGCCAACGTTCAACATGTTTGAGGCGTTTGAGGCTTGAAAGCTCAGAAAACCGCCAAAGCACATATTGTGCTGTACTCTGTGTTCAGTTTGACTCTTTAATTTGCCTAACTCTACCTGCAATCCCTCACTTTGTTCAATCCCCTGCGTTTTGGGCATGTCTTGCTCCTTGACGACCATCTATTTGTTGGATCTCCGCCAGGCGCCGTCGTGGTGGAACATTGCCGAGCCGGCTGCCAGAAGCGCTGCTGGCAGTAGCCACAGCTCCTATGCAGAGAGGGCGGGAGCGCGATATGCTGTTTGAGGCCTGCGACACCCTCTGACTTTACTACCCAGACTTGCTCCAGAACTCACTTGTTCTGAGGTTTGGGGGCTAATTTTGGAAATTGTGCCAACGCACACATTGGGAGAGGAAAGCCATGCTGGGATTTTGCGCTGGACCAATGAGGAGCGCTGACTGTCATTATTCTCGCTTGGTACTTTTATCCATTGGCGACGAGTTTGCAGCCGTGGCCATGTCAAGCAAACTTGCCTTTGAGCCATGCTGCCGGTCCCTAATCTGCCGCAGCAACGTGTTCTGTCGCTGTGGGGCTGTGGCGTGAAGCGCGCTGACTCAGGTTTGCGCAGTTTCTTCGCGCATCCGCCCACATGCCAATATTCCCGAAAGCGCGCACGTTTACTTCCATTTGTGCAGGCAAGCGGCAAGCCCAAAAGGGCACCCCCCATTCCGATTTTCCTTGCAGGCCCAAGTACCCGACTGTGCTAATTTTGTTTACACTCACGCGCTGAGATTTCATGTGCCCGCGCGGCCCAAATAGCGCGCGTGGGCGCGGACTGTTCGCGCGCTCGCCAAGCATCCTCTAGTTTCGTTTCAATATGCGCATGCCTCGTGGGGCATCGCGAAGCTGCGGCGCGCAGACGCAGAATGTGGTGCGTGTGAAGAAGAATGTACGAGCTGCGTTCAGCGCAAACAAAACTGCTGGGGCAAGACATGGCTTCTATTCATTCTAGCTGGGCGCAGCAACTCGCATGCGCTACTTAGTGACTGCCTTGTTCTTGGCTTGTTGTTTTGACGCTTGACCTCATCGTTTCATTTTCTGGGTTGCGCCTTGCAGGTCAAAAGCCAGCTTGGAACTTGCAACTCATCGCGCTCGGCAATTCAGAAGGAAGTCGGCGTCCTTGGCCCCAAGCTTGCCACCTTCCTGAAACTCACCTTGCGGGATAGAGGGGCGTATTTCCTGCATTGAAAGTCTTTTGGGACTTGCCGTCGCAGGAATAAACACTTTTTCAGGATGAATGCGTTCGTTCTTCCAGCGCAGCTACTGTTTGAGAACTCGGAGCTAAGCCTGTTCTTTTTGGCGAGCCCATCACCAGTATCCTTTCCTTGGCCGCGCTGGAATGTTTTCTTCACTAAGCTGCCTGTCTCGCGCTGCGTTTGCTGCTGCATTTCTCTTCTTGCGCCACGCGTTGCAATGTTGATTTCGGCATTGCGCGCTGCGCTCCGAGTTGGATGTCCGTTGAGAGCGAGCTTGGCGCTCCGGGATCAATTGGCAGTTGCCCACCAACCATGATGCATCGTGGGTGTGATTTGAACGGCTCCATGTCTCAATCCTTTTGAGGACTTGGCGTTCTGCTAGATTCACTGGATAAACTATTCAGTTCATGATGCTTTCCGCCCTTGCAAACGCGCGCGTGGAGCTAGATTTCCCGTAGCTCAAAACATACTTTGCGCGAAGCAGGCGTGGGACAACCAGAGTCAGACACTCCCCTAACTTGCGATGCGCGTGGTCTCACAGGCTTTTCCAGCCCCCCCCCCCCCGATGTTTTCAAGGATATTCTTTGGTTTTTGAATGTTGCGGGCGGCGCGTCCACAGCGGCGCGTCTACAAGCAGCTGAGATCTGACTGGGCTACAGCGTGTGGCCTTTTTTTCATGTTTGATGGGCCAAACGCTCTTTGACGTGCTCGCATAAATTCAAGAGGAGCCTGTGTATTTTCTGGCATGTTGGGTGTTTGTTAACTACAGTTGCTGCGGTAGAAAAAGTACCACCTTTGTCAGAAGGCAAGCCGCAAATGCACGCGAATGAGGGAACAGGGGCGCTTGCAAACATGAAGGCTTCAAGGCAAAGGCGCCCTGTACTGAATGCAAATTCAGAGATGATGGCGCACGCGCAGCAACTCGAGCAGTCTGAATACTTTGCGCAGAAACTTCCCGACTCAAGAAACCAGGAGGAGGGGGCAATGATAGAGCTTGCGCATCGCAAGCTGGTGCTTTCCGAATCCGACTTGTCTGTTTCTGATTTCTGAATGGTATTTCATATTGCAGCATGACTTTTTCAGAAAAGAAATTGGGCGGCCTGTGGAGCCTGTTTGTTGCTACCCATTTCACTTGAGAAGGCGCTCTAGCGGGCCCACAGCTAGAAACCGTCTCTCAAACCATCTCTCAAAGATCGCATGTGAGTAAATGCACATCTCAGCCCGGGAACTAAGGAAGACCTGCCGAAGCGAGGCCAGCTTGGGTGGTAAGAGATGTGTGCCACGAGAGCTACAACACTTGATGATGCACTGATGGGGATGGACATCGCTCCCTAATCAGGCTTTGAGGCAATCATTTGAGCAGCTTGTCGCTTGCCATGTCACATTGTGTGTGTGTGCCTTTGTTTCATCTGCAGCGCAGAGACATTTGCCAACCCTCTTTTGGTCCCTTGTCGGCTCCCGATTGTACGCGCATGTTTTTCTTTTTGGGTCCAACACCCATCTTGGGCTCGCATCGCCAGCTGCGCGGGCCTTGCCAGGCATGGCAGACATCCAGGCCTCCCACTCGCCCAGTCCTGAACACCGAGGCATCATTGCAGCTGGTGGAGATCTAGAAAATATCGAGCTTTCTTTGAAACAAGTTTTGCTTACGGCGTCGTAGCTCCAAGCACAGATCGACGCGAAGAAGTGTTCCCTAACACGCGCCAACGTGAACTATTGATTGCAGTCAAACTTTGCCTCACAGAAGCTCAAGGCAAGCAACGCCAACCAATAAACAGAGGAACGTCCGCCAAATCGTGCGCAGGCACCGTGGACGAGTCGCTTTGGGAGGCAGATCCGGAAGAGCTGGGGCAATACAGGTTGCTCTATGATTGCTGGGAGCTGAGAATGTGAATCATCAAGGCACTGTGGTCGAACAAGCGAACTGCGCAAAGTCTCATCCAAGCCTCCGAGCCCCTGCGCGTGAGCAAATCGGGGATGTTGGACTCTGGAGTCTTCTAGATTGAGATTTGCAATGTCCCCATTCACGTTCTCTTCCGGTTTGCGCGCTGCTGACGGTCAATAGACTTGCAAGTCAGGGCAGGGCTGTCGCGAGCTTTTGTTTTCAAACCTCTTCTGCACCCTGCGGCGTCCTTTACCATACCATCCATTCCCTTTTAAGTATTGCTCAAAGCCGGATTGCAGGCGCGTAGGTCACCGAACTGCGATTGCTTTGGGGGTGCCAACGCCTCAATTTGAGGAAGTTGCCGCTCTTCCTCCGACCGACTTCCAAGCCGGATGAATCTCATTCCCTGATCAACCGTGGTTGTTGATGCCTCGGCAGTTCCTAACCATGACATGGGAAGTAGCCAATGGGCGTGAAGCCCCAAAGCCTCCAGATTGAAAATGTCTAGATAGGCTCCGACAGATCAAAGCTGGGCCAATGCGTTTATTCCCGAGGCCTGGACCAATCGGATTTGCCCACAGCCGAAGCAGAGGCGCCGGGTTGCGGAGTGAAGCTGACTTGCGCCCACAATCAACTTGCGCAGGACCCGCTAGGAACAGCTTTGTTTTTGTGACTATCACATTGTCATGAGAATGATCATTTGTTCAAGGTTGCCTAGGGAGGTAGGGCATGGGAGCGTTGTGTGACAGAACTCAGTCTTGCAGTCTGCAAGGTTCTGCAGCGCAGTGGCCTCAGCTCCAATGAGCTCGCTCAGATTTGGCAGCTCTCCGATGCCTGGACCTCAGGCAGGCGTTTTTTGTAATCGCAAAAGCTACACGATGGCCTCGCGTAGCTTGCGCGTCGTCACTACTGTTGATGGAAGAAATATTGCATGAGTTTACAAGACTCATGTTTGCCACCCCGCGCCCCCTACTTAACATTGAGTTGCGATGAGCAAAACCGCTCATAGGTTGTTAATGGCCTAAATCTTGCATGACCCAACCCAACTTGGCCAAACTGAGCACCAATGTTAAGTAGGGGGCGCGGGGCAAGCCGTAACGAGACGGCATGGATCTGTTTCAAAAGAGATGCAAGATTTCTTCCATCCACCGTAGCAATGGCAGCATTTGATAACTGCATACTTCTATTTGTTTGTTTATCTATTTGTCCATGTGTTGATCTACTTGTTTCTTCTTTATTTACCTATCTTAGCTATCTATTTGTTTGTGTATCTATCTATCTACCTATCTACCTATCTACCTATCTACCTATCTACCTTATCCTATCCTATCCTATCCGATCCCATCCTATCCTATCCTATGCTGTCTCTCTCTCTCCCCCTCTCTCTCTCTCTCTCTCTCTCTATCTATCTCTCTGTATGTCTATCTATCTATCTATTTATCTATGAATATATCTATCTATCTGTACACCAATCTAGCTGGCTAGCTTGCTAGCTATCCATATCCATCCATACCTATCTATATGTGTTTTGTATGTATTTATTTATTTATTTATTTATCCAGCGGCATTGCGAAAGCAACCTCCGCCTCACTTTGCGAAGGTGCTGTGCCTGCCACGAAATCTGCACCTGACCTTGCGAAAGTGCCTGATGTGAAAGTGCCGCGTTTGCCACGGATGATCAAGAGTTTGCGCGACAGATGTTACACAACCAAGGTCGACTTCGACGGGCAGCTGGCGCTTTGCGAGTTTGCTTGCGCCATGATCCTAACCAGCAGGCCAGCAAACAGGGGTTTGCCTCAAATTTGTTGAGCTGCGTTTTGTGCCTTCCTTGGGCTTTTGAGCGGTTGAGAGACACAGCGTCGACATTTGTTCGTCCCAACTCTTTGCTTTTTCGTGAAAAGACTCCCCCTTCCACGCTTCCGGGAAGCTCACAACAAGCCCTACACATGTTTTGCATGCGTATTGGTTCTTGACAAATCGATATGAGCCTGAGAGGGCAGGTTTCGTTGTAGTTGGCAAGCTCTACGTCATGATAGGTGGATGCTGCGGGTGTCTGAGCAGACTCAGGGCCGAAAAACAAACAACTGACTAAAAAATGACCAAGCTCTTCCAGACCAACCTTGACTAGGGCTGCCAAAAATCGTTATATGGCCGTGCGCAGAGGGTACCTGGATTTCTCGACTCCAGCGGCTTTGCAGGCGCCGAGGGGGCGCCCCTCTGCCTGAGGAGCTGCCAGCGCCCTTGGCACGGCCACTTGCCTGCACGTTGCGCAAAGCTAGTGGGATGCAATTGGGGCAAAGCAGGGCTGGAACACTTCTTTGCTCGGACGAGCCCAGGCTGGTCGCAGGCGCTGTGGAGTTACCGATGCTTGGCAGAGCTTTAGCGACAGAAAGCCAACACAAGTCGCGCGGTTGCCGCCTAAAGAAACAATCAATGGCCGCTCAAAGCTCTGCGAGAACGTGCCACAACAACGCGCTTGGCTGATTTTTGTGCGACGGGCTTGAGCCAAGGGAAGACGAGTCCAAGTGGGTCGGTTGCTCAGACGACGTGACAAGCCAAATCTTAGCCCTTGGCTAGCTTGGAAGGGCTCTAACATTTGCTGGGGTGGAACCACAGCACCATTCCCCATTCCCCATTCCGTTGCGAGCGAACACTTGCCCGCAGAGTTGTCGTTGCACCCAAATGTGTCCTAATCGTTATCAAGAGCTCCAAAGCCTTGCGGAGGCTATTACTCCTGAGGAGTTGGAGAGGCTTGGGGCACGCGCGCGCAGCTGTGTTTGTGTGAAACTTCAATTCAGACCTAGCCCACGAGGACTCGTTTCGGCAGGTATCGCCAGGTCTTCGACTCGGAGCGGACCGGGCCCAGCTTCAGCAAAGTTGAAGCCAGGGAGGCGCATGGGCGAGCCGAGGATCCCTCCCACCACTGTGACTTTGCGGGCGGCCGCAATTTCGCGTAATCATCAAGTATAAGAAACAAGTTGATTGAAGTTTTGCTGCCGTTTCCAAAGGACGAGGGTTGCTGCATCCTATTGACATTGAAAAGCCTGCGCTGCCACCCATCTGCCAATTCTCACCAGGATGTAACTGTGCAATTTGCCAACTTGGTGCAGCTTTATTTCCTTGCTTGCCTCCTTTCCAAGTTGGCTGTTTTAGGGCACGAGGCAGGTACGTGGTAGGCGCGTAGTTGTCCTTTCGCCTGTGTCCGGAGCAAAGCCCGGAATGCCCAACGTGTTGCGAGGTGCTCAAGCGGTCTAACCTGCCGCTCCAAGACTTGCAGCAGATCCTTCGTCTTTCAGATGTGGACGAGGAGAGAACATGGCAAAGTTGGCTGAGCTGCCAAACGCCTTCTTCGAGGGCTCCCGACCCGTTTGCTGCGCAACATTGCGCAAACTGTTAGAGTCATTTGGGCCTCACCTGATGTTAACTTGTCCAAGTGCATCGTCGCACCCAGCCTGCAAGGACGAACGGCTGTACTTCGGGGAGTTTGCCTGCGCCCTTCATCTAGCAGCCTTGCGCCGTGAGGCCAGGAAAGGAAGAGACGCCCTGTGATGTTCTGTCTGGGCACAAGATATGTACATGTGCCAAGTCATGATGCGGCACGTCCGAATATGTGGCAGGAGGTCTTGGGAGGTACTGGTGCTGCAGCGCTTGGAGAGGGCATTGAACAGCTTCGCTTCGTCAGCTTGCAGGAGGCTATTCATTGCAAGGCTAATATCCCACGCATGCGCAACTGCTACAGCGTTAGATGGTTGGGCTGGCAAGGCCTTCAAGTCGAGGCGGCTGCTCGGCGTGCCCTTTTGCTTTGGCTATGCCCTTTGTCAGAAATTATCGATTTGATTGAGGTGGCCTGATTAGTTTTCCAAGCCAAGCGCTGCGTCAGAGTTGGGCCCTGTTGGCAAGATAGCAAATTCTGAAATGGTCGGATTTTTTGTCGCCCTTCAGCTGGAAAAATCCTTTCCGTGGCAGGCAGAGCCATTGCCGCCACAGCTTCCTGGGCCGCCCGCGACCAAAAGATGTTGGAAGCCACTTCTGAGCGCGTTTGGTGGAGACTCGAACAATTTGCCAGAGGGGCACAAGGCCCGATCCCGAAGTAATTGTATGGGCTCCTCATCCGAGGAAAAACGTTTCGCCCTGCGGTGGGATGTTGATTGCGCAACAAAGTGATTGAAGAGGCTTTGCACGGACGGACAGAGCTCGCAAAGGAGTCAACCATAAGCTTGTCGGAACCGCCCGCAGCTACAAAGCCTGGGAGAGGGGAGTGAGGAGTCGGCTCTTGGGCGTTTGACGTGAGGCCCCCTTGATGCCCAGGCTTCGCGAAATTGCTCAAGACGGGCGCTTGGCTGGCGGGCAGCTGAGCCCGTTGCGTCCCGGCGTCCCCAAATCACCCCTGTGAATTTTAGGGCGTGCGGGAGTCTTTCATATATCCCACAAAGAACCGCTTCCTCCACAAGATGCGTTGGCTACATTTCGGGCTGAGTAACTCAATTCGGGGGCCTTACTGAGTTCAACATGATTTGCGTGAATTAAATACAGACACAGCTGACCCCCCATTCTGGGGCAGGCTTTCCATTTTGGGGGCAGTAGCTGTTCAACGAGTTGTCCTATAAATCTTGAGAGGGTGGAGAGGGCGGGCGCTGAGCCTCAACAAATACTTTCCACTTGGCCGTGAGATTTCCACATTTTGTTTGAGATTCAATGATCTTCAGGAGGGCGCCATCATGCGCTATCAACAACCCTCCAGGTCGAAGGGAGGATCCGCTGGAATATTTCCTAAGTGCGGAATATTAAGTGAGAATGACACAGTAGAATACCACAAGGATGCTCGAATTCAAAACATGCAGGAGTGCCTCAGTTGCCCCCCGCCGCGTATCAAAGTGCGTTCGATCTTCAAAGAAGCGTCAGATCGCCTGAGGCGCAGAGCCTGAGCTGGAGCTCTTCGCGGAACTTTTTCAGCAGTTGAGGCGCAGAGGGGCGAATGTCCGCAGCAAGATCTTGATTGGAAAGCGATCTTGGGTGTTTGTCGCTGTCTGCCTGGCTGGCACCTGGCTGGCACCTGGCTGTCTCAGCTTCGCCGCTTTGGCCTTGATTAGGCCAATGTAAACTGTGGAAAGAAGCACAGAAGCAGAGGCTGAGAAAATCAGGATGGCAGAAGACGTTGGGAGCGACTGCGAAGACTTGAATGCAAATGATGTTTTGTTGCGCAAAGTTGCGTCTCAGAGGGGCTTTCGTTTGTCCTCCAGCCCGCGAGTCAAAGTTGGGCCCATTGTTCTGGCGGAGGCGCAATGGTTTGTTGTTTTGGTGAAAAGGAGGCTGAGTGGGCAGCATTGCTAGTTGCTGCTAGTTTTAGTTGTGATTCCTCTGCCTCGGCCTCGAGGCAACTTGACACAAGTAAAAAGCAATTGGCTCGCGTGCATGGCGTGCGTGTTGTGAATGTCAGCGTGGATATGCGGGCTCAGGATTTGCAAACCCGCCCTGCTCGCGCGCTGCTCTCCACTCGTGATTTCCATTTATGCCCGTGCTCCACATTGACGTGCTCCTCCACCTTGCGCGCTCTGCTCTCCTCACTCCACCTCACTCTTTACTCCACTCTGCTCCACGGTCCAACTGTTTGTCAAAATGGTGAAGTGGCCACAAGTTGGAACTAATCTCGGCCACGATGAACTTCAGACTTAGATGTGTTTGTTGCTGTGGCGTCGGCGTGTTTCTGGCCGGCGTCAGGCGACCAGGGCAAGAGTGCCTTGGCCCCGCTGAGGTGAACGAGGCCAGGAGACTTTAGGGGACTGAGTTTGGGATATTGTGATGCATGTGCACTTGGCGAAACAAGAGCGCACACCGATCCTGATTTGAACAGGCAGCTCTTTCGCTTTGTTTCCTGGCGCAAATCCTTGATGTTGCAGTAGTCGAGCAAGCTTTTCAACTTGTGGTTGTAAGAGTAGCACATTTGCGGATGCCTCCTTTGACAGGGCAGCGGCTCGAATTTGCGCCAGGTCTTTCAGCGGTCTGGGCTGCCAGCCGAGGAATTATCGGAAGTTTGGAGGCTGGGTTCGTTTTGCACAGCAAAGCCACGTCCCCTGACAGGGCCTGAGTGCTATTGTTGTGTGAACCGTAGCCTTGCCACCAGGCGTGAGCTTGCAGGGTATTTAGGCGACAACTGTTGGCAAAGCAAGGACGTCAACTCCCAAGAGTGCAATCATGGCAGTATGTGTTCGTCAACGCGTTGCATTTCCGGCTCCAGGCTTGCCGACATTGACCAGGATGGCCAGCTCAACCGCGAGGAGTTTCTTTGCGCCATGGCGTTGCTGCAGCAGCGAAGACGAGCGCTGGAGAGGAAAATCGCGCGGCGCAGCGCCCGGATTGCTGCAGACGCAACAGTTGTTTCTCAGTGCGCCAAGGCAGACAAGGCAACCGACGAGGAACAAGTTGGCCGTTGTTTTTCGGCGCAAGGAAGTTGCGAACCAATTTTGCATAATATGTTGGGGCAGGAGGGGATATGTCAAGAACCTGTTGAAAGCACGAGTGCAAGACTTGTCAAGCCACTGCCAAACTGCCAACCTGCCAAAGTTTCAACACTGCAGGCTTCCAACACTGCCAACACAGGCCGCCACCAACACACTGCAAGGCTTTCCAACTTGCTGCTCAAGGCTGCCCAGCTGCACCAGCCCCCCTGCAGGTCTTGATTGTACAAATCTGGCAAGGCTGCAACACTGCAGCTCTGTTTGCCAAAACACTGCAAGACGCACTGCTCAAGCAAGGCTGCCAAACTGCAGGCATGGCAAGGTTGCAAAAACACTTGCTCTGCCAAAGCTCCAACACTGCAAGCCTGGTTGCAAAACAGGCTTGGCACAACTGCCAAAGCCCAACACTGCAAAATTGCAACCCACTTTGCAAGGTGCAGGCCCAGCTTCAACACTGTCAAGCAAAATCTTCAACACTGCCTTCCAACACTGTCTGCAACGTTTGGCACTGCAAGGCTGCCCAGCTGCACCAATGTGCCTCTGGCAGTGGCAGGGCTTTTTCTCTGTCTGCCAAAGTCATTGCAAGACTTGGGGTGGGGTTGCAAAATTGTCGCAAAGGTGTTCAAGTCTGTCTTGATTTGGCACGGCTGCCATTAAGTTCCAACACTCAGGCTCAGCTTTAAGACTGAAAGCCACTCCAGACTTGTCAAGTCAACCTGCCAACCTGCCAACTGCAACTTATTGCAAGAAATCTGCCAAAGCTCCAACACTACAAGCCTGGAAACTGTCAAAGCTCCAACTGCAAGGGTTGCAACACCAAAGCTCAGTTTCAACACTGCAAGACGTGTCAAGCCACCAGGCTGCCAACCTGCCAAAGTTTCCACTGCAGGCTTTCCAAGGAACTTTCAACACTGCAAGAATCTGGGCTGCACAGGGCTCCAGCTGCAGCGTTGCAAATCCCCTGCCAACCTGTCCATGTTTCAACACTGCGCTGCACTGTGGGTGTTTGTGTGTTTGTGTTGTGTGTTTGTTTGTGTGTGTGTTTGTGTTTGTGTGTTTGTGTTTGTTGTGTTTGTGTGTGTGTGTTTGTGTTTGTGTTTGTGTGTTTGTGTGTGTGTTTTTGTGTGTGTGCGTTTGTGTTTGTGTTTGTGTGTGTTTGTGTGTGTGTTTGTGTTTGTTTGTGTTTGTTTGTGTTTGTGTGTGTGGTTGTGTTGTGTTGTGTTTGTGTGTTTGTGCTTGTGTGTTTGTGTTTGTGTGTGTGTTTGTGTGTGTGTTTGTGTGTGCTTGTTTGTGTGTTTGTGTGTTTGTGTGTTTGTGTGTTTGTGTGTGTTTGTGTTTGTGTGTTTGTGTTTGTGTGAGTGTGTTTGTGTGGTTGTGTTTGTGTGTTTGTGTTTGTGTATGTTTGTGTTTGTGTGTGTGTTTGTGTTTGTGTGTTTGTGTGTGTGTGTGTTTGTGTTTGTGTGTTGTGGTGCTTTTGTGTGTTTGTGTTTGTGTGTTTGTGTTTGTGTGTTTGTGTGTTTGTGTTTGTGTGTTTGTGTTTGTGTGTGTGTTTGTGTGTGTGTTTGTGTGTTTGTGTTTGTGTGTGTGTGTTTGTGTTTGTGTGTTGTGGTGCTTTTGTGTGTTTGTGTTTGTGTGTTTGTGTTTGTGTGTTTGTGTGTTTGTGTGTTTGTGTGTTTGTGTGTGTGTTTGTGTGTTTGTGTTTGTGTCTGTGTGTTTGTGTTTGTGTTTGTGTATGTTTGTGTTTGTGTGTTTGGGTGTTTGTGTTTGTGTGTTTGTGTGTGTGTTTGTGTTTGTGTGTTTTGGTGCTTTTGTGTGTTTGTGTTTGTGTGTTTGTGTGTGTGTGTTTGTGTTTGTGTGTTTGTGTTTGTGTTTTTGTTTGTGTGTTTGTGTTTGTGTGTTTGTGTGTTTGTTTGTGTGTGTGTGTGTGTTTGTGTTTGTGTGTGTTTTTGTGCTTGTGTTTGTGTGTTTGTGTTTGTGTGTTTGTGTTTGTGTGTTTCTGTTTGTGTGTTTGTGTTTGTGTGTTTGTGTTTGTTTGTGTGTGTTTGTGTGTTTGTGATTGTGTGTTTGTGTTTGTGTTTGTGTTTTTGTTTGTGTGTTTGTGTTTGTGTTTGTGTGATTGTGTGTTTGTGTTTTTGTTTGTGTGTTTGTGTTTGTGTGATTGTGTGATTGTGTGATTGTGTGTTTGTGTTTTTGTGTTTTTGTGTTTTGGTGCGTTTGTGTGTTTGTGTTTGTGTGTTTGTGTGTGGGTGTGTGTGTTTGTGTGTTTGTGTTTGTGTGTTTGTGCTTGTGTGTGTTTGTGTTTGTGTGTTTGTGTTTCTGTGTTTCTGTGTTTGTGTTTCTGTGTTTGTGTGTTTGTGTTTGTGTGTTTGTGTTCTTGTGTTTTTGTGTTTCTGTGTTTTTGTGCTTTTGTGTTTCTGTGTTTGTGTGTTTGTGTTTGTGTGTTTGTGTTTGTTTGTCTTTGTGTGTTTGTGTGTGTTTGTGTGTGTGTGTGTGTTTGTGTCTGTGTGTTTGTGTGTTTGTATTTGTGTGTTTGTCTGTCTTTGTGTGTTTGTGTTTGTGTTTGTGTGTTTGTGTTTGTTTGTGTTTTTGTGTTTGTGTTTGTGTTTGTGTGTCTCTGTTTGTGTCTGTGTGTTTGTGTTTCTGTTTGTTTGTGTTTGTGTTTGTGTGTGTGTTTCTGTGTGTTTCTGTGTGTTTGTGTTTGTGTGTGTTTGTGTTTGTGTGGTCGTGTTTGTGTTTGTGTGGTTTTGTTTTTGTTTTCGTTTTTGTGTGTTTGTGTTTGTGTTTGTGTGTTTGTGTGTTTGTGTGTTTGTGTGTTTGTGTGTTTGTGTGCTTGTGTGTTTGTGTGTTTGTGTTTGTGTGTGTGTGTGTTTGTGTCTGTGTGTTTGTGTTTGTTTGTGTTTGTGTTTGCTTGTGTGTTTGTGTTTGTGTGTTTGTGTTTGTGTTTGTGTCTGTGTGTTTGTGTTTGTGTGTTTGTGTGTGTGTGTGTTTGTGATTGTGTTTGTGTTTGGGTGTTTGTGTGTTTGTGTGTTTGTGTGTTTGTGTGTTTGTGTTTGTGTGTTTGTGTTTTTATGTTTTTGTGTTTCTGTGTTTCTGTGTTTGTGGTTGTGTGCTTGTGCTTGTGTTTGTGTGTTTGTGTTTGTGTGTTTGTGTTTGTGTGTTTCTGTTTGTGTGTTTGTGTTTGTGTGTTTGTGTTTGTTT